AGCTGAGATACTTACGCTATCGATCGAAACGTTCTGCTTGGCGTTGAGCAATTTTCATTGTATTTTTTTTTTTTTTTTTTTTGAAGCAAACGTTTTCGGATTGGATTACCATTTGATTATTGTATTGTTTTGAGATATTGACATATTTGTTTGATATATTTTTAAGCACCACAACCATAAGAAATAAACAGAATGGAAAAAGAAAGACAGAAATGATTAACAAACGTATATCTATCGATTTAGCACGATTTTAAGATTTTTTTTTTTAATTTTAGCACTATTTTCTCTTCATTTTTCAGTTCTTCAGTTTTTCAGTTTTTCAATTTTTAGTTACAAAACAACCGAGAATAGTGTTAAATTTGTTCTGGTATTATACAACACTTACATTCTCCTGTAGTCGCAGACTGAGACCGCGCACCTCTTCGTTGGCATTCTCCAGTTGATGCGATACCTCCAGATAGGAGCGACGCAGCTGCATCAACTCCGTTTGAATGGCATAGCTAAGCAATAGATAACCAAATTTGATTACATAACATTAATATAATTGATATAAATATTTGTATATATATATATATAGAAAGGTGAGGTTAAGCACCTGGTCTCCTCCTCTTCGGCACGTGAGACTTGGCCGCGCACCAGACGATCGGCCAACTCGGCACTCTCGGCCTCGAGCAGCTCGTTGCGCTGCTTGAGAAGACAATTCTCGCGGCGCAGCCGTCGCAGCTCGACCATCTCCTCCTGTTCCTTTTTCTTCAAGTCTTGATACTCTTTCTCCATTTTCTTCATGCGCTTCGTATTGAGTTTCTGCGCATAGGCCAAGTTGAAGAAGCCCTCCGGATCGGCCTCTACGCGACCGGGCAGCTCCTTTTGAAAGAACTTAAGCATGGCCTCCATGTCGAGGGACAGCAGCGACTCCTTGCCCGTCAAGAGCAGAGCCAGCGCCACCTTAAAAATGAACTCCATGCCCTCGCTCAGGAAGACATCCATAATGCGGCAGCTGAGGTTCACGTTCAGCGTGGTCGTATAGAGCGTTAGGAACCAGCTGGACGCATACATGGTCGTCTGGAAGCCTTGCTGTTGGAAATGTAAGTGCATATCGGGTATCTGCTCCTGCACCAGATTCTCCAGCTGGTACATGCACAGGCCCAGCTCCGACATCGATGGCTTGAACATGTGCCGCATGCGATGCTGTTGCATGATCTGTACGAGTACAGCGAACGCCTCCTCCTCGGGCATCTGCATCAGCAAGAGGCCAACAATGAAGCCCGAGCCCTGGCAATAGCCAACCTCGCGATCGTGCAGCGAATACGCTTTGATCACATTGAACAGCGCCTCCTGGCCGGGGCCGTCCTTCTCCTTGAAGAAGTCCACCTCCGGATAGGTGCGCGCTATATCACGACGAATCACTTTCTCGCAAGCCGATGTTGCCTTAATATATTCCGCATACTGTTTCTTATCAGCATCGGCGGCACCGCTCAGCTGCTGCCACACGATGGCACGAAAATGATGCGGTATGCCCCTTCGCACCAGCTCGCGTACACAAGGATTTTTGCGCTTCAGCGCGCCGTCCCAATCGTTCAATATGGACGCCCATGTCGTCCAGATGTCCTCCTCGGCAACCGAATTGCCACCTGCAAACACGATTGAAATCCACATTGAATATCATATATATATAGAGACAAGTGACATATATATGAAATATATAGGGATCAGAAGCTTACTTGATGTCAGGCTAATTTGACTCGTGTCCGAGTTTTTGCGACTGTGCGTTGAGTGCAGCGAGTTGAGACTTTTGGCATCGCTTTCGATTAGCTTGTTGGCAGCCTCCAGCTTGGCTAGCAGATCCATTTCAGATGTGGGCAGATTCTCTTCCGCTACTGCATTCACTTCCATTTTCTTGTTGCTCTCCGGTGGCGTCGCCGTTGTGGTCAGTGTCATTTCTATATGACGATGCTGACACAACAATCTCTACCGAACTGCGAGCGCTCTCTTCTCTCCCACTCTCTAGCGTTGACTTGTTGCTTTAGTTGAAAGTTTTTCTCTTTCTCTTGTTGGTGGACACCAAGGAGTTGTTGTTGTTGCTGTTGCTTTTGCCAGTGGTCCTTAAGCAGTTATCCCTGTGGGCTGATCTCAACGATAGCTTGCTGAATGCATAGCTAAGCTCGGCTCAGCTCATCGTCGCAGCTCGTTTCGCACTGTAATCAATGTGTAAATTGTTAATTAACAAATAATCGTAATTGTGGCGTTATCTTTCGGTCTTGTTTCGGGTCTTATAGGTGTTCACATTGAGGTGAATGAAACTGACAACTTAAGCGCACACTTATCGACACACCAGACTGACAGACGTCAACCACAACTGACTCGAAATAGTGAACACAATATGTGAGCCACATTCACGTTCACGTTCACATTTCGCTTAATGCAAACAAGTGCTGCCAGCTCTGCGACTGGCGACTTAGTTCAAGTTTGTATTGTATTGTATTGTTCATAAGTCGTGCGGCCCCAAAAAAGAAATGGATCAAAACAAAACAGAAAAACCAGTCTGGGCCCCCACCCCACTATCAACAACTGTACATACATATATATATATATATTTGCTTATATATGATTATCTAAATATTTCAGTTTAACGACTCTGTCTCTCTGTATCCAAACGGATACGCATGGCTCGCATGGCTAGTGGGCGTTCGGATTGCGCACAGCTCTCGTCCCTGACCGAATTGTCACTGTTAATGGCCAGATAAGCGCGAATCAATTGACATAATATTTATACAGATAACATACATTATATTAGCCTGCTTAGCGCAAGTCTAAGAGCCGAATTAAGCTTTGCTCAAATTAGATTTTAGTTCATTTTTATACTCCGTCAAGCACTGAAAGCAGCATATAAAGTTTAACTTAGCCAATCTTGAGGTCTTTTTGTTATGTTGTTATATATACTTGAAACTTGCATCAAACCTAGATCAAATATATATAATATATGCACATATATCAATGCCCATTGGATCCGCTGTAAATTGGAAAAATCCATTTTTGCTGCCTGCGCATTTTGCGGTCAGATTTGAGCAATTGTTATTCAGGCTTTGGTGCGTAAGAATAATTAATGCAAAGTTTCCATTTGAAATTGTTTTAGCTTAATATTATGTCAAATATCTTAATTGAAATAAATTAATTTGTATTTTATCTAAGTTTTCATATGCCGTTTAGTTTGAGCTTTTCAAACTACCCTCTTTGGCGCTGTTATCAGCGTGGCATTTCGCTTATCATTTAACTAGGGGGAACCCAGGGTATGGAGAGAGCGTCACTTCAAGCAAACATACGCCCGATAAGCTATTTGGAACACCTGCTCCATAACCTTTATCACATGGCGTTCGTCAAAGCCCCACCTAAGCCCGTTCAACTCACTCGAGGCGAGGGCCGTAACTAGGGTACGCAGCTAGACTTGAATCATCAGACATGGCATTTCTGATTCACCAGAGAACCCTCTGCTGCAAGTCTCCTCAGTCCGATTCATAAAAAAAGTTATTTATCTAGCGACAAATAATACAACAAAGCCTACAACAAGCGGGCGTCTTATCAACTTTCAATGCACAAAGAAGGAACAAAAAATAAATAAAAGGAATTTTTTAAGTTTATAGATATCGATTTACAAATACGAAACTTAACTTATCTCACGATACATAAAAATTTATTTGAAAAAAAAAAAAAAAAAAAAAAACAGTTATAGAGCGAGAGAGATAGAGATGTGTACAAACAAGCATTACGTCAGTACATGTACCTGGCGATATACCATATGATCAAGCTTGTCGGGAGACAACATCTCGTATACGCAACGTTGTGCGCTTACAACAATTGCGAGCTTCTGCGCTTCCCACACGAATCGAGTTTGTATTATCAGCCGGTGTGGGGGCGTGAGCCTATATAGTTGCTTTGGGATCAGCCAATTGCTATACCCTGTAGTTAACACGAAGCGCTGGGGTATAAGAGCCAATGCAGTCGCTTCACATTTTTTCTAGCTCTGATGAGCACAGATAATAATATATATACATATCTTTATATGTCTGCATAAATGTCTACCAAAGGCCAACTCAAGTTTACTTTACATTTTCTGCTCTAGTCGAACAACGCCCTGCTCTGCGATTCTCAGGCTTTTCAGTAAGTTTAGTTTTCGGCTAGTTCTAGGCTTGCTTACAGGGTAGCTGCCCGGTAAGCCTTAACCCCCTTTTTGCTACCTCTTTTATTTAATTTAAAGCGACTCGCAACTTGTCATGTTTAGATTAATCAAAAATTTAAACATTTCCGCAAGTGCAGCCAAGTGGAAATAGCTCACGCCCATTTGAAAGAGACTCAAACAATAAATGCAACACGATGATAATGTTAAAGAAGACTGTGTCGGCAAACATGGTTATAAATTGTTCTCTCTCTCTGTGTGTGTGGGTGTGTGTGTGTGTAGTTCAAGTGGCGGGGGTTACGAGCGGGATAGCCTCTGCTCTAAATTGCACTTGCAAAAAAAAAATTCAAAGTCGAAGTCAGTTAGCAAATGCGGTTCAATGCCATCAAGCTTAGAGCGCGTTTATAGAGAGACAGAGAGAAAGAGAGAGAGAGAAGAGTAATATGCATAGCATGTATATATAACTGGCATTACAAGTGTGTCCGACAATACAGTTATGAAGCAGACATAGTACACATCGATACTACATATATGATTCGACACGATACGACGATACGTGTTGATTAGATTTCGAAACACCAAACGCACACACAGACAGAGACACACACAGACACGCACAGGTATGCGAGTGTGTCCGAGACCAGTGAAATCAAATCGCACAGCGCCAATCTCCCCAGCTCATTCGTTCCATACGAAAAATGAGGTTAGTTCGCTCAGTACGCGAAGATACGTGGAGTCGAGCGCACAGGAGCGAACGGCAACTAACAAAAATTGAATAAAAACAAATAAAGAAAAAATATACAAAAATAATAAACAACAACAACAGCAGCAGCAGCAGCAGCAGCAGCGACAGCTAAAAGTGGTAATAATTAAGTGAAGGCAAAACAAAGCAGGGCCAAAAGCCTTGCAGCTTGTAATACCCTACAGCTGCAGCAACAGGGCATAACGGCAACAGGCAGGCAGACAGTCATATATACACCTGTTTAACATCAATTAGAAGTGCATTAATAGCAGCAACTGTAGCTAAAGCGTAAACATATTGTTTTTCTTCTTCTTTCATTTTATGGCCGCTCAATTCGTTTCCACGAAATTGATAATACCCGAAATAGATTAGGTTTTTATCAAAAAATTGAGCTGATTTAAACGTAAATTAGCTGCAAACATATGCACATATATATATCTCAGATATAAACAATAACCGAGAGTCTTCAATTGCTATTATAAAGTTCGATATCCTAAAGTTCCCAATCTGAACTATTTCAAGATCTGAGACCTTTGCACAGATCATTTCATGTTCATATATTTTAGATGTATGAATCATAGTTGAAACATCATCTCAAATTAGCCAAGTTTTTCAAGGTTGTTCACTGCAGTGCACTTTACTTCCCACTTTCAATCTTTCTTTGTAGTTGTCGTTGCATGTGTCATTCAGCAGGCAGAAGCAAAAGCTAACCGAAACTTGGAGGCGTGGCGGCCATGACAGCCAACCTAAAACAGCGAGCCGAGCGACAAGAGTCGGAGGTGGACTCGCCGCTGAAGCCGATGCTGCATACGGAAGCCGACGCAGCTGCGGAGGAGTTGAATGGGGCAGCTGGTGCGGCTGAGGAGTCGGAGGAGCTAATTGGTATTTTCTATGTGGAGAATCGACGACGCAAACAAAACATCAAAATTGTGGTCAAACTCTGCCCGGACGGCGTCTATTTGCGTCGCGAGACGACCCAGAATGATCACATCAATGAGCAGCTGATACGCATCGATGACATCATCGGCTCCAGCTGTGGCCAGCGTCTCAAGAAGCGTACAAGAGGTGGCCTCAACTCTTGCAAGAGTACCAAAAATCAGGAGCAGCAGCAGCAGCAGGAGCAACACCAGCACCCTGATGAAGACGATTACGGGGAGGAGGACCAGCAGCGTAAGGCGGCCGATACTAGCGCCTACCTCTACATCTATGCGTATCTGAAGAAGGAGAAGCCGCTGCGACGGGTGCAAACGTTGCGCATTCTACGTTTTCGCACCAGCGATGACTATGCCGAGAATCTGGCCACGGCTCGGCTCTGGCATCGCACCATACGGAAGCACAAGCGGCGCTCAGGTGCAGCGGGCGAAACGGCTCGGGCAGCGGGCAAGAAGCTGCTCATATTGCTGAATCCCAAGTCGGGATCGGGCAAGGGACGCGAACTGTTTCAAAAGCAGGTGGCACCACTGCTGCGCGAAGCGGAGACCCAATACGATCTGCAGATCACAACGCATCCCAATTATGCACAGGAGTTTGTGCGCTCGCGCAAGGACCTGATGGAACGGTATTCGGGCATTGTTGTCGCCTCGGGCGATGGCCTCTTCTATGAGGTGCTCAACGGTCTGATGGGGCGCATGGATTGGCGTCGCGCCTGCCGTGAACTGCCAATGGGCATCATACCCTGCGGCTCCGGCAACGGACTGGCCAAAAGCATCGCCCATCACTGCAACGAACCATACGAACCGAAGCCCCTGCTGCATGCCACCTTGATCTGTGTGGCCGGCCGAGCTACGCCGATGGATGTGGTGCGCGTCGAGCTGAATCATCGGGATAAGCACTATGTGATGTATTCGTTCCTCTCCATTGGCTGGGGCCTCATTGCCGACATCGATATTGAGAGCGAAAAATTGCGCTCGATTGGCTCTCAGCGCTTTTTCCTCTGGGCCATTCGGCGGCTCATCACGTTGCGCTGTTATCGGGGCAAGATCTACTACCTGCCGGCAAAGAGCTCCACAGGGCAACCAGCAGGAGCAGCCGCAGCAGCTGCAAAAGCAGCTGAATCCGGGCCAGAAACACCTGCGGGGCAGGCCAATAACCAGTCCGAGCCTCAGTCCCCAGAGTTCAGCGAATTCAGAGACTTGCCCGACGACGAGGATGTCGAGTTGCGCGACAGTCAATCCGATCCGGATCAATTTGCCGATGCCCTGTCCTTGGATCGTTCCATCTATCGCCAGAATGCGGACAGCTGGCATTCGGCTGTGTCAAGGCGCACGGCCTACTATTCAATTGGTGGCCATAGCTCGCGCTCCAATCGTAGCCGACTAAACGTGACCCAGCGGATCGAGGCAGCCAATGCCGAGTTCAATCAGCTGATGCCGAAGGGCACAATACCGGGACTGCAGCTGCCGCTGCCCGCTGCCGACGGCTGGCTGCACGAGGAGGGCGAATTTGTGATGGTGCATGCCGCATATACGACACACCTGGCCTCCGATTGCTTCTTTGCGCCAGAGTCCCGGCTCAACGATGGCCTCATCTACCTGGTGATTATACGAGCTGGCGTCGGACGTTCTCAATTGCTCAACTTTCTGCTCGGCCTGCACAGCGGCACGCATCTGCCCTTGGAGGAGGATCCACACATACAGGTTGTGCCGGTGCGAGCGTTTCGCATTGAGCCATCCGGCTCTCACGGCATAATAACCATTGATGGGGAGCGTGTGGACTATGGCCCCATCCAAGCCGAGGTATTCCCAGGCCTGATTAATGTGATGACCACAACAGGGCAATGAGCAGGTTTTCAATGTTCCGTTTTTCTTTAATTTTACCTATATACATATATCGCCTAAGACTGTTTTTTTTTTTTTTTAATATATATAAATGTTTTTTTTACTACTGTTAAATATTATTAGAGAGAGAACGCAAATACGACACAAATAAAAGAGCAACCAAAACAACAATATTTTTGAATATATTATATATATATATATCCATAAATGTCGTACATCTATTGGTATACACTTATATAATATATAATTTTCCACAGCTATTCAAATCAATTAACACAATTAACATATTCAGGTGTTTGTGTTGCCAAACAATTATAACAGAGTGTAAACTGTGCGACAACATCTGCAAGATAATGTTAATAACAGAACACAAACTAGTTCAATTTAGATAACTGTCAATAGTTACTTGTTTTGATTTTTTTTCGACAAATATCTGATAAATATGAGCTCAAACCATACATCAATCGAAATGTTTATAGAAATTATTTAGTGTTAAGTTTCGTTCTGAAGCAATAGCCAATAAAAAAATTTCGTTAGCTGCAATTTTGATAAGATTGACTCTTATATGGCCCAGATTGGAAATAAAAAATAAAAAACACTGGGATTTGCTGGCAATCTATTGGACCTGACTGCATGGCTATCTTTATAATCATTACATAAATATATATATACATAAATATATATACATATGTGAACAATACATACACATGTTGTTAAGCCGATATGAATGAGCTAGGGCAATGGTCGAGTGCTGCTGTTTATAATGGACTCTATTTACCTAGCAACTATTTTAATTCAATAATTATTGTGCTTTAATGCGAGAATAACACTATTCGATTATTCGTTATTAGGTATTGTATTATTATATTTCATAAATACAATATTATTATATTTCATAAAATACAATCACATTTATTTATACGTCACTTAATATTTAATCAAAATATTATAGATAAGACCTAGCTATTTACAACTCTAATTTGTTACCCAGCCCATTATTTCGGACGCCACTGTAACAAGCAACAAAGTGTGCTGCATACGTTTAGGCTAAGTGCTGTTAATTCGAAAGAAAAAACAAAGCTGTTGTGGAGACAACGTGCATGTGTATGTATGTATGTGTGAATGCTATGAATAGTTGCTAATTAATGGCACCATCAAATTGTAGACAATAATTTACTGCCGGCATACGTTACTGTAGTTTGTTAGCAAGTGTATGCATATGTATGTATGTATTTAATTGTCGTAATGCATAAACTGAAAAAGTGCGCTGCTATGTAGGTGCTTTTATATATAGATATATGTGTGTATTTTTTTTTTTGTAAAACTTTTCAACCAAGTGGCAACATTTTCTGCTCTCACAAACATAGGTTAATGTATATATATATATATATATATATATATATATATATAAATGTGTGTGTGTCAGTGTGCGCGCGTATAGTGCATGCACTTGCCTACTTATTTCCACTCTGATTCATTCATAAAATACATATGCATGTGTGTGAGTGTGAGTGTATGTATGCGTGTGCAGTGGCTAAGAAGTAAACCAACCAAAAATAAAAAATTAAGTGAAAAAACGCCGTCTTAAATTCATTTCGGATGCGTTTTCAAGTGGCCACTCGAGCCAGTCCAGTAATGCATGCATACATAAAAGCATTCGTTAACCGTTAGACAGAATACGACACAGGCATAGACAGACACACGAACACACACAGATCGAGACTCACATTTAAAGATGGAAATAGATTTTGTCACTGAATTGGCCAGCATTATTGGTTTTTTTCTGTTTATACAAATTGCATTTTATTACTTTGCTGACTGTCTAAATATGTCTCCACTATCTTCTCTCCACGCCCCGCATTCTCCACATTTCCATTCTTTCGCCATCGTCACCCAGTCGAGTAGGTAGACGATAGGCGAACGGGTAACGGGCAACGGGTAACGGGCCATGCGGATTGTGTGGGAATTAGTCAGAAACCTGATGGCCGCAGCAGCAGCACCCGCAGCGACGGCGGCGGCTGGCTAAAGCTTCAAATTATTTTATTGTGTGCTCGAACCGTATAGGCTATATGAGTTGCGACCGGAAATATATTACATTTTGGTATGTTTTCATTTTTGACATTCTCTTTTAATGATGAGAAAAGATTCAGGACTGCATATGTAAAGTTTATTAATTTTAACATTTGCACAGGGTATCTCATAGTGTCATACAGTTGAGTATACTTTGATTTAATTTTTAAAAACCAAAATTTTAGATTAATACTGCATTTTTGTGGAGTTGACATTTTTCATATCAGGTTCTTCAATTTGCAATTTTGCATTTTTAATGAAATTAATTTGACAATATAACTGGAAGATCAACTGTTTACAGCGAGATGTGTATATATATATAAAATTATATTCCTGTCAAGGAGCGTCTCACTTACATTTTAAGTATTTTAACCTAATTAAAAACAAACTAAGAGATGCAGGAGGTTGGGTCTTTGGGTGGTCGTTTGGTTTGCGACGGCGACGTCAGCTTAGGTCTCGTTTCCAGAGGCCACGCCCCACCTGACCTGATGGTTCGAGCAGACACACATTAGCATAATTTCATTTTGCCGCACCTGACCCCCCTCCCCATCTTTTTTAAATAAACCACAGCCAAGCCCCAAAAATCGTTTGTGCTTTGTAACTGCATCTGTTATTTGAGATTTCCAGTTCTTTTCATACAAAGTGGCAACGCCAGGATATTTATGTAAATGCTAATTACGTTTATGTTTGGGCAAACGTAATCCACAAAAACACTTGAAAGAACAACAAAAAGAAATCGTTCCAAATTGTTTTCTGCTAATGAGTCGCGTATCGGCTGTATAGAATTGGTAGAAGAGTGAAAGGGTAAGAGTCATTATAGAGCACACACACATACAGAGGCACATACATCGATTTCCTCAAGCAGGCATATGTGAGAGTGTGTGTAAAAGCTCGGCACAAGTGGAAGTTGATAGCGTATAGAATGAAGGCAGATGCAGAGACAAGCGACAGACACGATTGCAGCGATCGCTTAATCATCTAGCAGTAGAGCAGAAGCACGCGCTGCTTCAATTCTATTTGTATACAATTATATTTTATCGCTTCCAGTGAGAAGAGACTGTGAGAAAGAAAGAGAGAGAGAGAGAGAGAGACAGAGAGCGAGCGAGCGAGCGAGCGCAAATGTGCGTATATACATATGTAAGTATTAATCATTTCAATGGGGGCGGCACTGCTCTCCATGGACAACGCATAAACATGGCTTAGACTAACTTTGTATTTAGTGTAAAAAAAAATAGCAAACTATCGTAAATTTGCAAACTTGTAAACACATACATACGTGCAAAAACAAGCTGAAACAACTGCAAAAACAATTAGGAAATGAGCCCCGCAGGTCCCACACTCAATCTCGCTGTCTCTTTCCCCCCTTTTGACACATACATGTCTTAACAACAGCGTTGACTGAGACGAAAAAGCTTTCGCCATAAAATGCACAAAAATAACAACAAAAATTGATCATCGAAATGAGGCCAAAAAAAAATTGTAGCGGTGTTACAGCAACGACAACAACATAGCGAAGATAGAAACGACGAAAACGCACAAAAAACTGGAAGTTGCTTGAGAAGTGTAATTCATCAAAAGCCAACTCCTAAATGCCGGCACGTATCGAAATTTGTATGACACACACACACATTCATACATACACTTATGCTTGCATGCACTTATGCTTATTCATCTGTATGTTTCAATTGCCCAAATACACATAGCATACATACATACATATGAATGTGCTGAATTGCAAGTCTTGTCAGAAGTCGAAACTGTAAACAACATTTTGAAAGTGATTGAAAACAAGCGTCAACAGGGAGCTGAGGGTAGGTGTTGCCGCTATTGTTGTGCTTTTTTCTGCTCTTTTTTTGTATTGTTGCTTACTTTACATAACGGTTTTTGCAACGGACATTGGGACGAAAGAGTGAAGGCAATTATGAGCATACATACATATGTATGCATGTCTTTATGTCTATTTGTGTTCATGAAGCCGTTTGTTACTTTTCAGCTAAGCATTAACAAATGGCAGTTTAAATACATATTCACATAAATAAATGGACGTGGCTCAGTTTTCAAGAGTAAATCATTTTTAACATATTTTCGCGGCATTTGGAGAAGGTCAAAATGCTTCAAAAGCAGCTTCAACAATAAAAAAATTAATAAAAATTAAAACAATACACCCACACACACATTAACAAAAATCAACTAAATATTATATACATATGAACATATATAGACGGCACACTCAAAAGGCTGAACAACTTCTAAACAAATTATGCACAGACATACATATACAGTTGTGCATATATTTGTTGGTCGTGCTGTATGTGAAGCATGAACATAAATAAATAAACAGAATTATAGCAAAACGCACGCGAGGCGTATAAATGTGGGCATGGGTGTACGGTAAATACATATGTATGTACGTAAGTATGTATGCATGTACAGACACCCGTGCAAGGTGGTAACGCTGCGCACAGAGAAAGATAGAGCGAGAGAGCAAGAGAGCAGACGTTGTGAAGTTTGAATTGGAAGATACAAGGTTACAACAACAAGACAACAAAGCAGCTGATGTGGTAGGAAATGGGCATATGAAAGTGTAAACGAAACGCAGAGAATTTTCTCCAATTGGAATAGTTGTAGGCTGCTGGCACTTGTTGTTGTTGTTGCTGTTGACATTTAACGATATGGGGCTATAATAAAAAAACAACCAAGTAATGTTAAAGGGGCGAGGAAAATAATATATATATATAAAGGACAGCAAATTCGAAGTATAACTAGAAAGTTTTTATTTGTTGCTATTTGATGACGTTTTCTACATATAAATGTTTTATTTATCTGTGAGTGTGTATGAGTACGTATACACACTATGCTTGTTAGTGTAAATAGTAAACACACCTGCTTCAGCACTCACCGTTATTGCTTCTTATTGGTATTCTAAGCGAAGATGGCGAATTTTTCAGCGAAGACGACGAACGAAGCGACGTCGTCGTTTCAATCAGACGTGTATCAAACTGCCATGAAAGAGTTGTAATTAACTGGACGACGACGACGACGAGTTTTTATTTAATTTCACTTCAAATTTTGACGAGACCGACTTTTTTGCTGTAAACGTCACTTCTTCGGTTTGTCCGCAGACACAAGCACACACATACATACATACATACACAGAATTCGTTTTCTGGTTGGAGTAAGTTTTCAATTGCTAAGCGGCAATGAGTTCTTTTTAAGTGCACTATCGCGAGTAGCGTTAGTTTTGTGGCTACGGTGAAAAAAATACAAAACAAAAAACAATATCATTCACAATCTTTAAATTTCTTTGGCGTTCGAGTTTTTAATGTTTGCTGAATTTATAAACTGAGCTTCCAGTGTGACTGCACTCTGCAGACAGTGTGACCACGATCAGCGCATAAAAAAACCCTAAATGCAGTAAAAGAGCGAATGCTGTTAACAGCACTGTAATCCATTTAACATTTAAACATATTCCAATAACAGAGTCTCTGTCTTTTACAATCGATAAGTAAAATAATTTTTGTTTTTTAATCTGATGGGAAAATGTTAATGGATACCTTTTGTGAAATTATATTGAGATCTCTGGATTGCTGGGCATCTAATGACCTCATTTGAAATACATCCATCTCTGATACATAAATATCGGCACAAAGTATTGAAGGTTGTTATCGGACACGATAGGTTATCGCATTTGCTGTTTATCCATCGATGCATTTTAATTTGTCGTAAGCTGGAAGATATTTAGTTATTCAGAAGTTTATAGCATATATAATAAGAACAGGATGCCAGAAACTGAACACTTACCAGAGGGCTGGGAAAAGCGCACCAGCCGTTCAACCGGTAAGTAAATACTATAGATATCTCAACATATCTTCAAAACCGGTAAATATTTTATTGATGCGCACATCTATACGCGCCCAGGCATGAGCTATTATCTCAACGTGCACACAAAGGAGTCCCAGTGGGATCAGCCAACCGAGCCGGCCAAAAAGTCCGGCGGCAATGGCTCCTCGTCCGATTCACCCAGCGAGGTGCAATGCCTCCATTTGCTGGTCAAACACAAGGGTAGCCGCCGGCCCAGTTCCTGGCGCGAAGAGAACATTACACGCACCAAAGAAGAGGCCCAAATGCTGCTCGAGATCTATCGCAACAAAATTGTTAACAGCGAGGCGACATTCGAGGAACTAGCACGTTCCTATTCCGACTGCAGCTCGGCTAAGCGAGGCGGCGACTTGGGCAAATTTGGAAGAGGTAAATCTCGAATGAGATCCCATTAAAACAACAAAAACTTAATAATCCTATTTGAATCCTTAATCAGGTCAAATGCAAGCGCCCTTTGAGAAGGCAGCCTTCGCTTTGAAGGTGGGACAACTATCGGACATTGTGGACACAGACTCCGGCCTGCACATCATTATACGCAAATCATAGACCGAATCAGCTGATGATATATAGAGAAAACTGCATTAACTCATTAGAAATAAAACGAAATTAAAGCGCTTCAATGAAAATACCTTTCAACATTATTTGTCTTCGCACTGCCTGAGAATCTCTTAGGATCCCATTCAAATCGTTAGTTCTTGCTCTGCTAATAACTGTTCTGCCTGTTCGTAAATACAAAACTATATAAATATAACTACATAAAATCGTCGAGATTTTTGTACTTCCAAGCAATAAGTTTTATTAACAGGATTTAAAGATTATGTTTGCAAACTTAAAGGGCTAACAAACAAATGTTCAGTATAAAAACAAAATTCCATTTCTATGCGATTTAAGTTAAAACTTGAAATGACAGCGACGATAGCCTTCTTTCATATATAAATCGCGCCTTTCTATGCGATTTTTATTATACGAAATGCGTCTCATGCATGAATCTACCTAGATAACATGTAGATAATATATATAACAATTAATTAATATTGAATTATTTAAACATTCAAATGTATACATATATATATTACATATATTTGAATATTTATATTTATATATTTATTTATATATACTATATCTAATTATCGTATAAAGTTAGTTGCAAACGCATTCACTAAAACTAATCAATATACTAGAAGATATTAGCATATATCTATTCCTTCAATTTGTTGGCCAACATCTTGACGCCAGCCGACTGTTGACTGTCGAGCAATTGACGGAGTACATTCTCCTTGATGAGAGAGCGGCAGCAGCTGAGCAAGGCCGGCGAATCCTCCACAAGCTTAACGAGCACAAAGCATGCGCGATTAATGACCAGCCAGGATTTGAGCTAAGGTAGCGAGAGCAAAGAGTTAGCAATTGTATAAACATTCTAAATAATATCGAATTACCACATCACAGTTTAGATGATTCAACAACTGTACGGCGAATGGTGTTGACTCGTGCTTTTGATCGTGCTTGATGATCTTCTTGAGCACATGATGCATGCCGGCATCCTCAATGCCAGATACCATTGGCAACTCCTCCTCGGTCGGCTTGACCTCTGACTCTTTCGGCTTTTTTGCAGGCGTGCCCTCCTCCTCAGCATCGTCTTCGTCATCGGAGCTGGCCGGAGGCGGGGCTCCCGAATTGAGTTTATTCTTACTTTTACGCTCTTTGATAGCGTCGGCTATGTAGGCTTCTACATCATGCGGCTTCTTCTTATTCTGTGCAGCGCCTTCACCGGGCACCGCGGAAATACGCCAATTAGCATCAGCTACCACCGGAGCCAAAGCTGTGACTGCTTTTACATAATTCTCTCCAGTAACTGATAAGAGACAAATATTGTTGAATCAGTTTAAAGGGTGATTGCTTAGCTTACTGTGCTTGAGTATATCGGCTGTGACGAGTCCAATGTGGCTGTTGGACAGCCAAAAGGCAGCATCCTCTTCAATAGCGAGAGCAATAGGTGCTTCAATCTGCTCCAGAATCTCTTGGCGACGTACCAATTTTTCCTTCTTGCCGTAAGCCAACCCCAATTCAATGGTCTTAATGAATCCGGGATGGAAACAGGTCGTATCGCCAGGTGCCACCAGCCACTGAACAACACGACGTCCATATTGATTGGCGACTAAAGTCTTAAGATCAGCATGCAAAGGATCAAAAATTGACTTTTTGATAGCTTTTGTATCGTCGAGGGCGTTCAGCAAGGCTATAAGAAAGACATGGCCTTGCTCATGCAGGGCGATTTTCAATAAATGCTCCTTGATATTCTTGATGATGGCCTAAGTTTGGACGAGATGATATTATGAATTATTCTATTTAATGATTCATTGCGAAATTCTCGACTTACTCGACGATTTTTCGGCGTAGATTTGTAGAAGCATATTATGGCAGCATCGGTGCCATCCTTGGTGGTCAGCATGTGAGGTATCAATGCAGCTAGACTGGTGACCGTTTCCTCCAATTTCTCCTCGTCGGTGGCCTGCATGAATTCGAGTATGACAGCATGCACCAAAGAGTTATCAACCAGCTGTTTATTGGCAATATGATCTATATTAGCTTTTACAGCACCCATTATAGAGGCTTTCATATTAGCAGCGTTCTTGTATGTGTCTTTTAGGCAATGTACAGCGTCGTCTTTAGCTTTCTTGTAGAGATCGCTATAAAACTCCTGGCGCAAATAACGACGCTGCTTCTCATTCCCATTCAAATAGATGTGATCCAATATTTTGCTGGCTATATTATGACCCGATAAACGCACCACATTGCCCAACAGAGCATCCACTAGCTTATTTTTAGTCTCCGGCGAGCCGTACTTAAGCATACGCTCGATGCAGAAATGAGCGTACTTCGACTGGCACATCTCCACGGCATGTGACATCAGTTTGTCAGAGATTTCGGCACGTAGTGTCGGTGTAGCATGCTTTAGCATGCACTGAAGCACGCGAGCGGTATCATGGGCCTTGGATACCTTGGATATAGTATCGCCGACATTTAGAATTTTATACATTTGTGCCACCAGTTGATCCTTGTTTTCGGTACGACGACTGCAATGACATAAATGATTGTCTAATGTTAAGAACCTTTTTAAGTCATAAGCTGCATGCTTACCATTTCACCTGTTCGTAGATTTTCTTAACCTCCTGTGTGACTTCGTAGGTGTCACGGTTACTTTTACGTTTCAGCTTGAGCTGCTTTTTTTCTTGCTTGAATTTATTCCAGTCTTGTTTTTCGCCACTATTTTCAGCCAACTGTGGCTTGGCACCGCCAGGTTTACCTGTTTTTTTGGCATCAAATTTGCGTTTCGGAGCATTTTTGAATTTATTCACACGTTTTGCCTTAGTTTTGTCTTCAGCTTTGTTTTTAGCTGGGGTTTTTTTCTTTGATTGCATTTTTTTGCCATTTGCTATAGCAATTGGCGCGACACTATCTATGTCAATCATGGTTATAAATTCTGAGACAAAACAAGAAATGCGAAATGTTTTGTTTTTTGTGTCCAACGGCAACACGTGCCAAGAGAATTGATAAATCGATTAATATTGTTATCGATAAAAAGAAAAAGTACGGTACAGAAATCTGTAAAATTACCTAACATTGATATAGATAGCCGTTTCTAACTATCGATAACAGCATTAAAAATTTAACTATTATAATAATTTTATTTTATTAATTACGCTACGAACGTATTGCCTAAAAATTTGAATAAAATTGGCTTATAATTGTCTAAGATTGTTAGTTGAGTATACATATATATACAGCTAAATATATCGCAACGCATGCCATCAATAGCATTTTGCTGGTTATCTCACCCCTAGTGTACAGTCGCCTCAGTCGCGACGGTGGATATATAAATAATTGTTGTCTCTTTTTTCGCGGCAAAAAGTGCAAACATTTTTTTTTTAAACCAATATAAATTGAAAAAAAACAACTCAAGCAATGGTTAAGTTGGGCAAAAAGAAATTGGCCGAACTCTCCGAAATAAGCAAAAGGAAATCAGCCGCTTGTTCCGACAGCGATGAAAACCCGAAAAATGGAGCCACCATTTCGAGCGACGATGAGTCTGAAAGTGTTAGTAAGGAACACAGCGATAAAGTGGAAATGAGTTCTAAGAGACAGCGGGCGTCCACGGCATCAACAAAAATAATCGTTGACGACAGCGATACAGATGAAAGCGATGATCTGCCATTGAATGGTAGTAAGGCCACCAGTTCGAGTGCGCCGCCACGGAAGAAGCAAAAGAAGACGCCCAAATCCAAGGGCAAAGCAACGGCTGCTGAGAAAAATCAAAACAAAAAAACGCCAACTAAAGCCGCTAACTCAGAATCGGATAACAATGATAACGACGACGACCGGGACGATGCTGATGAAAATGTTACCACGGAGTTCGAGGCATGTAAACGCTCAACATTTTTGTTGTGCAAAATTATAATCTTCATTTGAATTGCAGGTGGAGGCGATTGTCGGTCATAAATCGAAACGCGGTGAGTCGTTTTTCCTTGTACGTTGGAAGGGTTACGGCAAGGATGATGACAGTTGGGAGCCGGAAGCCGAGTTGAATTGTGACGATTTAATTGAGGAATATCGCAAAAAGGTAAAGCTACGCTTGGGTATTCCATATGCATGGTATTAGCTTTGTGATTTCATTTATAGAATAGCAGCAAGAAGAGCGCTGGAGCTGGTAAGAAATCTCCGGCTGCTGCCAAAGGAGTACGCGGGCGGAAGTCAGGCAAGAGTGTGTCAAGCGATCCTGATAAGGAATGGGCAGTTGAACGTATATTGGACTCGGCCAATGATGATGAGCATGGCGTTTTATACCGCATACGCTGGAAGGGCTTTGGTGCCAAAGAGGATACCTGGGAGCCGGAGTCCAATCTATCCTGTGAGGGCCTGATCGAGAAGTTCAAAAAGAACCTAGCTGAGCAGCGCAACGTGGATGCAAAACAATTGCGGGAATCGCCGAAGAAAACAAAGCGCTTAGTCAACGAGACTATTCCACGCTCTAATTTACACAATCGCATAGAGCGCTCCTCCAAGCGAGCTGCAGCCAAGAATCGGTAAGCCAAGCGCTCTTGCTCTCCCTCTCTCTCTCTCTCTCTCTCGCTCTCCCTCCCATGTTTATATACACACTGATTCTCTATTGAATTTGTTTCATGTAATATTTGCCATCCCTTTTGCACCCACAGGGTTTTTTATGGCGAGGAATAGGAGAATGGGAATTTCAATAAGAAATACACGACGACAAATAACAACAAAAACAGAATGCAGTATCGAATCTGGATTAGTAATTGAAATTGAATAAAATTTTAAGACGATTAGCTTAAGTTGATGATACGTGAATGTTGATCTAAGGCGTGGCACGTTCCTAGTTCTTAAGCAAATTGTCTAGGTGTATGAAAACCAATGCGACACAACACATACACATGTATACACCACTGACACACACACACATATACATACACACACATATATACACACATACATACATACCTACACAAGTAGATGTTTAAGATATACAGTTATAAAAGAATGTTTCAGAATCTAAACATTGAAGTTAATTTGTATCTGCATAACCCTTTTAATTAGATTTAAAAATTTACAGTTTAAAAAAGAAAAAAAATACACCATTTCTTCTAACTTAGATTTTAGGTTAAAAAAACCAATTCCCGTCTTTATACATTTCTGTTTTGTTAGAAACTAAATTATAGTACACTCCTTTGAGTTTCCAATTAACAAATAAATAAGAATATAAAACTATACCTAAATCAATCTGCTACGAATAAGAGAATTACTTACGTTGCGGTTTCTTTGACTTTCTTGCATATTTCACAGAACTTGGGTAGAGGATAATTCTTAGATTAAGAAACAATATTAATGCAATAAATAAATATATTTACGTACACAGCTAGTTCCAATTTCAGATTTGTTAGGTATGCCATAGCTCTCTCAAAAATTAAAAATTGAAAATTGGAAAAATTTTTTTGTTATTTTACTCTGTCGAAATCTTCACAAATGACTCGTTGTCGAACAAAAACCTATCGATGTAGATGTAGAGAACATGGCTACTTTGACGTATCCTGATTTCGATAGAAAGTTTAAAGTACACAAGTGGCATAGTGTTATCTATAATACTTATATAGATGCACGATATTTTCATATATGAATAAACCTTCACTAATTGCCAATTAAGTCGAATTCACAAAATATTTTAATATCTAGAATTGTTGGTCTATAGCTTTGCCTTACGCATAATAAAAATGTCTGAGGAAGACTTAGCAACCCAGAGCTATGGAAGAGAATCCAGCCGACTCTCTTCATACTCCATATACTTGGGTCTATTCGGCGCAGTCAACAATGATACATCTAGACTATAGTTTTTGTGAATTTATACTTTTTTAACCATCTTTAGCCATGGATCAACAGTAGCAGAGTTAGATTCTAGCTCTCACACAGAAGTCAATATAGCCTTTGCCAATTTACCACGCCATTAGGCGCGTATATATACAATAAGTATCTCTAATCTGGGCTTATCAATACATATATGAATTCCAAAACTCCAAGACTCTAGACTGCTTCAAATTTCGTTTGCTGATATATATACATGATTTAACTTCCCTTCAAAGTCTGATCTGAAATAGTACATATTTACTTTTTCTATACATAGTGAATGAATTATAATTAGTAAAATCCATTTGCTTTGGGTTTATTGCATTTAACTGCCATTTGACAATCTGTAATTGTATTTATATTTTCTGTTTTTTTTTTTTGTTTGGATGTTGCTGTGTCGCACAAAAAAAGAGTTAAATTGTATGTTAAACAGTTGAAGTTAAGCTAGATAGGTATCGATGGGGCTTAGAGGCCCGCCTGTATACCAAAGCCTGGGCCCTTTGGCTCCTCGCTTAGCGAAGTCGGAGCGCCTTTAGGTTCGCTTGCGAAACGTCCGTTGCGTGGTCCTGGCGGCGAGATCTTATCATTTTTAAGATCGTTCAAAATGGCCTGCATATCCTGGCCAGTCAGATCCTCCTGCAGCATAGAATGCGACACATTAGCAGCTATAAGCCAAATATCTTCATTTTCCACTCACATAGTAATCATCGTTGATGGACACCATTGGCGCATTGACACAGGCGCCCAAGCACTCAACCTCAGAGATGGTGAACTTGTTGTCCTTTGTGGTATCGCCGACGCCGATGCCCAACTGCTTCTTGCACGTCTCCAGAATTTCGTCGGAGCCGCGCAGCCAGCAGGGTGTGGTTGTGCACACCTGAATATGATATTTGCCTGTTGGCTTGCGCATGAACATTGTGTAGAATGTGGCCACCTCGTAGACGCGCATATTGGGAAGCGACAGTATTTCGGCCACCTTGTGCATAGCTGAAATGGGCAGCCAGCCATATTGACGCTGTGCCAGATCGAGCAGCGGTATCATAGCTCCACGTTTGTGACCCTCTGGATAGATGCTTAGTATGGCTTCTACACGTTTCTTGTTCTCTGCGCTGAACTCGAAGGGTATGTTGGGATTATCCTCGGGTGTGTCGCGATGCACGAACAGATTGTCGCTGCGCTGTGCACTGCTAGTGGCAATGGTGCGCAGGCTACCGCGCTGTAAATGCATGATGTATTTTTGTCAATGTTATTGTTTGTTGTGCAAAAAATTACATAACTTGTTACTGGTAATTCGCACTTGCATGTCAGCGCTTCCAGTATGTTGGGCAGTGAGTTACTTACGACAGCGGCCAGCGTCTTTGCGGCACAATTCGAGAGCATTTTATGCGCTTTCTATCCAAATAACAAAGTTAAAATTCTAATTAAATTGGAAGTGTCGGTGCCACAGCCAGTGTCACAAACGATTTCGATTGCTTCGATTACAGATCAGCTGGAATTGTCAGGGTTGATTTTAGCCAGATTTATCGATAGGACATCGTGACGTTACGAAACCACTGAAACTCAAGAAAACTATTGGAGGAATGCGAGTTATATTGGCGGATTGGTTGAACAACTCTAAGTCTGTGTTGTAAAATATTAATAATTACACAAATTGTGTAATTACTTATTTACAATATATTAAAAAATAATTATAAATATAAGAGCAATATCATATCTGCTAAATATTTTCGTGGGCTTTTAATATTCAAATACGCAATTTTTACCCGATTGTTAACTATTGTACATGTTACAATTCAATTTTTCAATTGTTAAATGCATGTTTTTAATAGGTATATACAGAAAGACTATATTATCACGCGTTCTGCTCATAGTTTTCAGTTTTCATATCATTCAGGCCAAGCTCCTCGTTGTCCTCGTAACTGCGCTCATATCTTTCCACCGTAAGCTTATCATCTGGCTCATCATCGTCCGTGAGGGATTGGACATAGGTATTACCTGCCGGATCTTCCAGCACAAGTGTGATTACATGCTCCAATTTGATGACTTTGTCGAAGGTGCTAAGGAAGCGGTCCAGTTGATTCTTGGATGGCTCATCGGCAGAGTCGTGGAACAAGGTGCCATCCAGTTGCTCACGCATGGCCACCAGCAGGCCCTCGACGGTGGTAAAGCGGCCGCAGAGGGCATTGGGACCCACATCCAAATCCAGTTCTGGTATCGACAGACTGCACGTTTCCGATTTAAGGACATCGCGCGTCAAATCCTCTTTGGTGGCAATGCGCACCTTGAATCGCACGCCCTCTGGCTCAATGCCGCCGCCAGACTTCACCTCGTTCGTCTTGTGGCCGCATTTCGAGCAGACGGTGGCCATGATGACCACCTCCTTGAAGTGCGGTATGTTAGTCAGCTTCATGTTTGTCTCGCATTGCGCTTGACAGCTGGGACAGTTCGTGGCGAACTGCAGCACTTCGCCGTGCAGGTTCTCAATGGGCCACTCATCCTCGGCAATGGGTTTTAATAGATTCTGGTCTTCGTGGTTTTGCTCATAGAGACCTGCATTGCAAATAATTGTATTTTGCTAGACATGGAGCGCCTGCACCAACTACTCAATAAGGATGTTCGACTTACCAAGTTGTTCGTTTTGCGCTGTTGTCCTTGTAAAGTGACTCGTTTTTAACTGTGGATCGCTGGCGGGCGCCAGTGGATTCTCAATGAAACTGTTGCCAGAGATATCCTCAAGCAGCACAGTGAAAGGTGTTTTTACCAGCTTGAGATGTCGCAAACGATCAATGTAGGCATCAATGGACTCCGCCTCCGCGGGGTGGTCAATTCGTCGTTTCTCCTGATCCTGCGACAAACCCGATATGGTGCGCTCAATGATACCTTCAATGGTGGTCACCTCGCCCTTTTGCGACTGCACGGGTATCTCCAGCTCTACTTCTGGTATGCTGATACTGGAGTTGTCGGACCGCACAACACGACGATTTAGATCCGATTCCTTCTGAACTTTAAGTTCGATGCGTACTCCATTCTTTTGTATTTCCGACGCCGATTGCATTTCGTTGTTCGTATGGCCGCAGTGATCACACTTGAAGGACATAAGCACCACCTCCCGAAAGAAGGGTATCTTCGTTGGCAGCAACCGGGTGACACCAGTTTTAAAGCAGTTCATGCATGCCGACTCGATCTCCACCAATTCGACTGTTTGCTCGGCGTTGATGTCTTTGAAGATGGGTTCCTGCTGTGCTGTTGCCGACGCAGGATCAATCTTGTCAGCGCTCTCGGGCGCAATAGTTGTGCTTGCCCCAGTGGACATGTTTAAGCTTAAAATTCTTGTAAAAAGGTAAATAAATAGAGTTTGCCGCTCTAACAACGTGTAGCCAGTGCACTAGATTGTTCTGAAGACTTCTTTCAGTGTTGGGAAATGTCGGTTAATTATGATAAGATACTTCACGTACTCGTTACTTATACCGGCTTTTATACAGTTACAAAATATATTTTGTAACAAATGTCAATAGTAATTGGTTCAAATTTGCTGTTATTTTTCTTATCGAACTATGATTATGTGTTGCAAAATAGTTTATTTTTGTGTATTTTAGCTTGTACGAATTCTTAGAAATTTCATTTTAGCAAGCTGACAAGAAGATTATAAATTCTATTGGGCAATTGCTTTGCCCTTTACGTTTTTAAAAAATATGGAGGATTACAGTTAATGTATACAATCAATTAAGTCCATTACGTCTTCCCCGTTATCGTATTCCTAATAATCTACCATATTTAGATGAAAATTAATATATTTTAAGTTGTCTAGTTTGAATCTAATTTGTCGGGTATCCGCTGAATTCAAATTGCAAGTTGATAAAGATGGTATAACTATCGTTCAATCTATCGTTCAACCATTTTCATCGATGCGATATGATATATTTCATCACTAACCGCGAGAATCAGCAGCAGCGGCGGCCAGCAGTGCTGTGTGTGTGTGTGCGTGTGTGCGCGACGAAAAAGTATAAATCGTAACGAGCAGAAGAAAAAAACGTGTGAAAATTTAAAGAAAGGTATCGCAATAAAATAATTAATTGTCAATCATACTGCTATATTGCATACGACGCGAATACCTTTGAAGGACTTTTTATGCATGCGTGTGTGCTGTGTATGTGTATGTGTATTTTGTGCGACCAGCAGCACCTGGGCGGTGGAGTGAAAATTTTGCGTTCAAGGACAACAGAACGACAGTGCTCACAGCTGCAAGTGTGTACTGTGTGGATGTCCCCTCCCTACCCCATTTTGTCCGTCCACTATTAGATCTCTCGATATGTTCCTCCTCGGCACGCCAAGACACTCGCTCAATTGCCCAGGCTCACGAAAAGCATACAAACACACACATACGTATATATGTATGTCCAAAAGTACCGACTTTTAAAAGAGCGGGCGCGTTTTTTTCCATTCAGTTTTTGTATCGCACAACTTAGTGTATAGTTACAATTCAACGATAGACAGCTAAGGTGTCCAGACTGCATTTGCAGATCTGGTGTACAAGAGCCAATTTTAAAATAGAAATTTTCACATATTTTGAAAGAAATTCAATTTTCAAAGAAATCTAAATGTGTTTGTGTGTGTGTGTTTGGGGTTGCCAATGTTTTTTTTCGCCCTAAACGAGCATGCGCATACCGACACATGTGCTCTCTTGCTCTCATACCAGCAAAACACATGGGTCGTGCTGCACTGAAAATAACTGTCGCAATTGAGAGAGAGAGACAATGGTACAGTGAGAACAAACGTTTGAAAAAAGTACGTAAAAAGTACGAAAAATGCCAGAATATGCGAAAAAGAAGAAGAAAAAAACAACAGCTGCGCAGATTCGACAAAGTCGTTAGGATAATGTGGGCCGGGGGAGTGCATATCTGGCTGATGCCCATTTCCAATTGCACGGGGCGCATAGACGCGTAGTCGACAGTCGTGCACAGATTCTCGTAAACAAAACGCTCGAAATTTGCGTACCACGTGTGTAGTCTGAGTGCGTGTATAAATACATGCATATGCATATATATATTTATACATATATGTGTGTGTGCCGCAGTCTATAAGTGTATGTATAAATGTACATTGTTGCAATTGTTTCGTGCAGCTGATTTGTTGTTGTGGTTGGTTTATTACCATTTCGCTGTTATTTTTTCCTCCTGTATTTCGAGGGCTACTAATCAACATTTAAATTTGCGACACATCCGCTGCGGTTATTACTAAAAAATATATAAATCGTTAGAGCCCGCGTGTGCTCATATGTACAAATATATGTGCATATAAATAAATATGTATATATAGAATATTTGTATATAGCTATACTTTATATTTTAAAAGACAGATCTTTTGGTATTTATGTGTATGTGTCGTATTTCTTGTCCAAGGACCTTTGTCATAGCGTCCTTGCGTCAAGCAATATACAAGAGGTGCATAAAGGGCGAAAATCAAAGTTGAATTTATTGCAAACGGCATTGACTTCACTTCTACATATGTACATGTGTATGTATGTAAACGCACACACACAAAGATATTGTGCTGCAGCAACGTTAACGCAGGCGCCTGCGCCGATTGGGCGACTCGCAATTTCTACGAGTACATGCGAAAAATATACACACAATTATACATATGTATATCAATGGGCACGTGCGTAAAGAATCGATTCGCTTCTTCGTTTAGACTTGTACTTAGCTGCGATAATTACTATCGCGATCGAATGACATCGCTAACAAATTGAAGATCGGCTCGTGCGGTCTGTTGCTACCGGCAGATAGAAGCTATACATACAAGGATATAACGATGATTTTTATCGACTCATTATTGATAACACATGTTATTTGCATTACTCTATATACATAAATGTTGTGTTATAAAAATAATAAAAGATCTGGCAACCACACGAGGATAAATTCTGACAGTGCTGTAAACCTTCAGTTAAATATATTTGCACTTTATTTTTAAATGAAAACTAAATAGAGCTATATATTCTAAATCTGCTTGAATATAAATAGACAACAACAAATATATTCTTATCTTATTGTGTTAATTTAGACATTCATTTTGATGCACAAATCTAATTCAACTAATTTAAAAGACAGAGGGAGAGTGACAGAGATAGAAGGATAGTAGTGTGCTGCCAAATGCCTAACCATTTACTGTTAGCTGTTCCCTAAAGTATGCATCATTATGTGCTATTAGGTATAATATATTGTGCCGTTGTGTTGCATAAGCGACAGGAGTATTAGCATTTAGCTGCCGCTGCTGCTGCTCCTTGACGCGTACCACCCAGACGCAGTACCACACGCATAACCCTCCACCCTTTTTTTTACTGACTGACTGACTGTGAGACAAACATTTCATCATTTACTTTAGTGCCAACACTTGGGTATGTTTCTCGTTAATTTTTATTCTCTCGTTCGAAACTTAGGCGTGTCATCGTTTGTTTGTTTGTTTTTATTTTTTGTTATTTTTTTTATGTCTTTTCTAAGTTAGTTCGCGTTTCGGTTAGTTAGTACTTGGCGGTCGCAGGTTCGCAGATATCTATAGCTTATTAATAATTGACTAAGTCCTAGGTTATTTTATTAACCATTAATTTAACAGCTAAGTGTTATTGCATAATTTTATACATCTGATTAGTTTTCTAAAATTTGATTAATTCACGCTACGTTTTTTATTGCGGTATATTTATTCTGTAGAACGACGCTGTTATCCTTCGTCTATCTGTCGTCGTCGTCTTCGTCGTCGTCGTCATTTTCGTCATCGTTCTCGTCGTGGTTAGCGCAACACAGCAACAAATTGAAACAATAGCAACACGCAGTTCCATTGCTTTAACGGTACCTATAACGGATCAACAGCAGAAACGAGAACCAACAAGAAGAGAGGAGCAGAACAGAAATCAAGAGGCTTACAAAATGCAGACGCATAAAAAGTAAAAGGAGCAGCAAAACAAGCAAAACAGAACGAATTCTGCTTGTGTGTGTGCGAGCGCGAGTGCCTGTGTGCCTGTGTTTGTTAGTAAAGCAGCAAGCAAACACAGACTCACACTTATTCTCCCATTTTTTCGCTGACGCCTACCTGCCAGTCTGTTTGCGTATATACGACTGCTTCCTCCTCCTGACTTACGCGTGTGTGTGTGTTAGTGCAGTAGTAGAGATTCAAATATCGACTCTCACACTTACACTCATTTGTGTGCAATTGGCATGGCTGCAAGGAGTAAGAGCGAACATCAATAGCAAACACAATTAGGATATGCAGCTATAAGAGAAGATTGATAGTTAAGTAAGCTTAAAGGACTTGAAACCAAAAATACCAACAACAGCAACAAACAACTTAAGCAACAAATTCACAAATACGTTGAACAAATTCCAAGCTAAAAGAAACAGACAGAGACGGAGAGAGAGCGAAAGAGCGACACAAACTCTGCCCACCCACTCAAAATTCACCAAGGAAAGGGATAATACTTAAACGAACGGTAAATTAACAAGTTGCTGGCAACATGAGCACTCTGCTGGAGGAGATTGGCCAATCCCTGGCCCCGGCGTCAATTGAGGAGCAGCAGCAGCAACAGCAGCGGGCTGCGATGAGTACGACACTTTGTGAGGATTCGAATTCATCATCGGTGCTGGAAGACATTGATGTGAGTAATACGAGCAGCAGCAGCAGCACCACCAGCAGCAGCAGCAGTAGCAGTGCCAGCAGCAACAGCAGTAGTTGCAGCAACGGCACTGGCACCGACACGGACACCGGCAAGGGCAGCAGCACAGTAGGCAGCATTGATACGACACGCGTTAGCTCGTCTAGCATTGGATCGGCTGCATCGATTACATCATCGGTATCAACGACCGCACCATCAACGAGCAATTCTTCGGGACTCGGTTTGGTGGTCGATGTGGATAGCAATATTGGCAGCAGCCAGGAGCTGAACCATGGCTATGACTCCAAGAGCGTCACGGAGACCGATTCCCTGGAGGGTACGTGCAATTCCATTCTCAAAGATGCTAAGAACTGCATGCTTTGCAGGTAAGTTTCTAGCTATCAAGTTTTATCTTTGGCCATCAGCTAATATCGATAAATGGACTTACAGAAAAGCGCCTATGCGCGTCTTCATTAAGCAATCGATAACAAAAGCAAAATATGTTCATAAAATCTTTAAATAGCAGCCAGGGATTAGTTTTTAATTTATATCTAATAATAGCAAAGAACTTAATTTATCGATATTATCGATGTCACCAATTGAATCGATATAAAATGTTGTTGAAATTATATTTTACCGTTTGTAGCTCGCGTTTGGTTATGCCGCGCATTTTATCCTGTCTACACGTATTTTGCGAGGATTGTTTGTTGAATTTGCTACGCAGCAAGGAGGCAGCATCGGCCAGCTCACCGGCCACATCACTATCGTCGGCAGCCAGCTGCTCGTCGGCATCGTTTGATGGCAGTGAGAACCAGCAGCGATTGCACACGGTGCTCGAGTGCCCTGATTGCAAGCAGCTGACACGGCTGGGTAATAAGGGCGTCAAGGGTCTGACCGTGGATTATATTGTGACAAATATATTGGATCTGTTTAATATGGAAACGGAGCATATACCATGCACGTCTTGCAAGAGCAAAGAGGAGGCCATATCCCGTTGCAATGATTGCGCCAACTTCTTGTGCAACGGCTGCGACAATGCACACAAGTATATGCGCTGCTTCGAGAACCATCAGGTGGTGCGCATCGAGGATCTGCAAAAGAATGTGCAGAACGACAAGCTTATCATACACAAGCCCATCTGCTGTCGCCAGCACGTAAACGAGAATCTCAAGTACTATTGCTTTACATGCCAGGTGCCCACCTGCAATGATTGCCTGCTGGGCGACCACAAGGGCAACGATCATCACTACGAGACTGCTTTGGTTGCCGAGCAAACGGTTCGTGCTGATCTCGAGCAAACTATTGCGGAGACTCTGAAGAAAGCACAATATTGCAACGATGCTGGCGGCAATCTGAGCAGCGCTTTAACCGAACTCCAATCGCAGCACGACAATGTGCGACAGCAGATCGAGGATGCATACAAAAGCTATAAGCGCATTCTCGAGGTAATTCGCGATCAATTGCTTACCGAATTGGGCCGTCTCCACTCGGAACGTGAACTCAAGATTATGGATCTTATGCAGAGTCTAGAGAATAACATGGGCCGATTGCAGCAGGCCTCACAATTCGGTCAACGTGCCATCGAGAAGGCAAATGCCATAGAGTTTCTATTGCTTAAGCCAGTCATTAGCGCCCAGTGCGCTAATCTCATTGATCAGACGCCCCAGAGCGATGTCAACTATCAGCTACAGTTCGAGTGCATGCCTGAGAAGTTCGAGCGTTTTGCGCGCGAAATGTTTGGTAAATTTCGCACCGAATCAACGAAAGGTATGAACGTAGCTGGAGCTGGAATGTCCGAAGCAACGGGTTCTCCGATGACCACGCCTAAGCAGCATTCGCCGCCGCCAGCAAACTTGGCGCCTGGTTGCCATGGTGTTGGCTTGCTGCCCGCTGGTGTGCGCAGCTTGACTGGTGTTGGCAGCAGCTCCGTCAACAACAGCTCGGTGCAAGGACGCTTGAGTTCGGCGGCTGTATTTAGTCCCATATCGTTGCCATCATCGCTGCAAAGCTCGTTCGATGGCGACACCTCAGTTATGACAAACTTTTCCATGATGAGCACGCTGCCACCAGATTCGCCGCCACAGCTGCAGCCGCAATTGCAGCAACAGCAGCAGCAGCAGGCGTTGCAACAGGTGCAACAGCAAAAGCAACAGCAACAGCAGCAACAAGCATTGCATCAGCAGCCTCAAGCGCTGCCCGTCAATCAACAAATATCACAGATGGTAACGACTCAGGGCATTGTCCAAGTGCAGCAATCTACTGGGCATGTTAATATCAATGCTGGAGCAAATAACAGCGCTGTTGGCATGGGTCTGGGCGCCCTTAATGGTCTTGGAATGAATGCTGGCGGACCGACACCTCCGTTCAGCATGCTCGAATACAATCTGTCACGTTTGGCCAGTCTTACCGAGAATATTCCGGATGCCATGAACGATACTTTGGGCGTTGGCAGTTCTAATGCTGTGGCTGTTTCCGCTACCTCCGGCGCTGCTGGCGGCACTGCATCCCATCATCAGCAGGCAGTCATACCCGCCTCAGGCGTGACACCCACTCAGCCCATAACACTGGCCGACATTCTGTCCGGCGATCAGCGAGCCCTCAACAATCTGCAAGCTCTGGCTAAGCTGGGACTCAACAACAATGGTGAGTGACGTGATCTGCGAAACTGTTAGCTCTGTTCGATTGCCTGCTTCCTACTGCACACATTTTACACACCTTGCAGACAGACAAACAAAAAGAAACTTTATATTTATTTAACTTATTTCTGCTAACTGGGATCTTTCCTATATGAATGTTCAGGCTTGTCCAGTATTTATTACTAAGGCTCTCACTCTCTCTTTCTGTTATTCCAAGTTATATATTAGACCATGGGAGAGTATGTACTATATATACCTTTCCCTATATTTATAGATTTATCTGCCTCTTTTTGTTTATCTCAATCGAATTTCTGTGTAAGTGTTATGATTCCACGTCTTTTCATCGATGATGTCTGCAGTGGTAAACGGGTTTCGGCAGGCCGAAAGAATTCCTAATTTCCTTTTATTTTTGTTATTTTTGTTTTGGCAACTTTTAAGTTTTTTTCTTTTTACAACAACCAACACCACATACTACCAACAATACCACCACCACCAACAACAACAACAACTCCAACACTCCCAAACACCACCCAACACACAGATGAGCAACACGATTTGTTGTCGTCGAACGGAAGCTCAACGTGCCTTGATTATATTTTAACAGATTTCTGCATGCCAGCAGCCACATCACCCAATCTTCAAACTTTGAATCCAATTGTTGGCGGTGTCGAAGAGATGAGCCTCAACAATTTCCATGCCGTTGCCCAGCCCGGCACCACCAGCGTTGTAACCGGCCGCAACAAGGCCACGCCCATGCAGATACGCTGCAAATTTGGATCGCTGGGCACGGCCAAGGGACAGTTCAATTCGCCGCACGGCTTTTGTCTGGGCGTCGATGAAGAGATCATAGTCGCCGATACCAACAATCATCGTATCGAGGTCTTTGACAAAATGGGCGCACTCAAATTTCAATTTGGCGTCGCCGGCAAAGAGGAAGGCCAACTCTGGTATCCACGCAAAGTGGCCGTCATGCACAACAATGGCAAATTCGTGGTCTGCGATCGCGGCAACGAACGCTCCCGCATGCAGATCTTCTCGAAATGCGGACATTTTATGCGCAAAATTGCAATCAGGTGCGTGATGAACACGCTGCCCACAACTATATCCGTTCTATTATGCTAACCGTGTGATCTTTGCAGATATATTGATATTGTTGCGGGTCTGGCTGTAACCGCCAAGGGTCACATTGTGGCCGTTGACAGCGTCTCGCCCACCGTTTTCGTAATCTCCGAGGAGGGCGAATTGGTGCGTTGGTTCGATTGCAGTGACTATATGCGGGAACCCTCCGATATTGCCATACGTGGTGAGTACTCTCTCTATGGCAGTTGCGATTATAAATATGTATTCATTTATATATATATTCTCAATTTCAGACAATGATTTTTATGTGTGCGATTTTAAAGGTCATTGCGTGGCCGTTTTTCAAGAGGACGGCACTTTCCTTTATCGCATTGGCAATGAAAAGGTCACCTGCTTTCCCAATGGTATTGACATATCGAACGCCGGCGATGTACTCATCGGTGATTCACACGGAAACCGCTTCCATGTGGCCTGCTACTCACGGGAAGGCGCCCTACAATCCGAATTCGAGTGCCCACATGTCAAGGTTTGCATATGAAATACGATTACGATTTCAGCTTGTTGAATATGAAATATTATGCGACTATCGGAGACTAACAAATATTCTACTAGTTCATATATACATATATATATATTTGTATATAGCTGTTGCTTGCCAACATATATATATGTATCAATTTTGTATATATTTTATATCGATTTATAATAACTTGCCGTTAATTCTTATTAATTTGATCGCATTCGACTATTGTAACTATTTATATATATATTTACGTATAGGGGCAATTGCGTTAGCTGCGGCTGTTAACTGAAAGGCAGTTTGTATACTATATTCACAGAGTTCTGCGAAAATTGTGTTGTTTGTTTTCTGAGCTCTTCCGCAAAAACGGTTGTCAAGCTCAGTTGCTTGGGGTTTTAATGTATTGTGATCATAATATTTATTAAATTGTTTTCCATTGCGCAGGTTTCACGTTGTTGCGGCCTGAAAATCACCTCCGAGGGCTATGTCGTAACATTGGCTAAGAACAATCATCATGTTCTCGTCTTGAATACCCTCTATGTTCACTGATTGCAAATCAAAGCGCGCAACAATCGTCCAGCTGTCGATATGAACAAATACAACTATAAATACTCGTCGGGCAAAATTTACGGATGTCGTAGGCAGCAACATCACTATCAACATGAACAGAAAAAACAACAAAAGCAGCAGCACCAATCAACAAGCAACAACAATAACACATTCAGCAGTACCAGCAAAAACCACCACAACAACAGCAACAACATCAAGAACAATTATAACAAAAACGACATGGAGCAGCATAGCAACAACTCGATTCGAGCTAAGCCGCCGCCTTCCATATAAATAAGCTTGAAATAAGGGCCAAACCCAGTACCGTTAAGTAAACAACCATGCAACACAATATGAGGGCAAAACGGGCGAAACTCTCGAATCTCGAAAACACGTTTTAAGCGAAAGTGTTGTCAACGTACAACAGCAACAAGCAACAACAAAATGCAACAATACTATTTTTGATCTCTAATTTAATAGCAACAACAAAAAAAAAACAAAACAAAACCTAAAACGATTAGCGCTACTAACAAACAAATAATTAACAAACATCTATATAAATCTATAACAAGAAACAAACAACTTTACTTAGAGTGTAACAAAAAAAAAAAAAACAAACAAAATGAAAAAATAAGGAGAAAAACTTACATATTTTTCAACACGTTTAAGAAATGCTCTTATTTAATTTTTTGTTTCTTTTTTAAATATGTTCTTGTTACAATTTTCATACGACACAAAATGACACACACTCACACTCACAATTAGTTATGCTTACACACACACGGTAGCACACACAACACAATACACACACACACACACACACTTCATGTTACTTATTATCTATGTATAAGCATACATATATATTGTTATATCGACGAATTAGCTTTTTTGTGCAAACCCCCTTCCAGAATCTTTTTCGACAAAAAAAAAACAAACGAAAAAACAAATACCAAAACAAACACGCATATATTTTACATACAATATATATACACACAACTCATATATATATGTATATATATAAATATATATATGTATATACATATGTGTATATATTCATATACATATTTGCGAAACGTGCGCTTTTTGTGCACATTTCCAAAGTGGACAGGAAAAACCAGGCAATAATTAACAACAACAACAACAACAAAAACATCTAAAATTATGTACAACTAACGTATATTTTCAATTTTAACAACTACAAAAACAAAAAAACAAAACAAAAATATGGAAGAGACACGTGTTTAGGTTTTTCCTTACTGCTGCTTATATAAGGTGATATTTATTTATATATATACATATGTGTATGAATATATAACTATATATATATATGTATGTATTTAACAAAGCAAAAATATCTTACAACTGACATAGATATATGTGAAATCCTACGATTATATGACTTTGCCATATATACAGAAAAAATAACACATATATATGCTGATTTTTGTCACTGTGTATATACATCTCTATGAATTATATGCAGATCTAATGAAAACACAAACATTAGAATACATTCTGCGTGTGTGTGTGTATGTGTGTATGTCGCGTTTGTGAGTGCGTTAGTAATAGGAACAAATAACAAGAAACAAAAACATACAAACTAAATGTAAGCTAACAAACCAAAATGCAAACAACAAGAACACAATAACAAACAACAAAGGCAACAAATTTGCAATGCATTAGGCCAACCAACTAAGTAAACAAAATCACACTAATACGACGAAAGTAAGAGACAAACAACAACAACAAATGAGAAAAAACCAAAAGATTACAAAACTATTGTTAAGTTCTATATATATTTACAATGTTAAAATGATATTCCTCTTGCTTATATACATACAAAACAAAACGAAACAAACATATACATATACGTGTGTATATGCCCACGTACGTATATATATATATATATATATATATATATATATATATATATATATGATATATAATATGTATATGGTATTTATGTATAGTAAGGACTCTTCTAGTAGCACATATTGGGGCATGTGCCATTTCTTTCCCGTTGTAATACAATATATAAGGCTGGTTTACTCCCAAGACATTATTATTTTTTAAACAAAAGAATAACATACTATTATTATTATTATTATTATAATTATAATTATTATATTATGATTAATTATGTGAATATTATGACTTTGTTGTTCTTTATTCTTTACGATGACAAAATAATTTTTGTGAATTTTATTATTATTATTATTATTATGTAAATTGCAATTTATTTTTGACTATGTTCTAAGTGAGAAAGAAGCAAAGATCATAAAATATCATAACGGTTATGATAAATTATGTAAGAGCGAAGCAACTTATTTTTTGTATAGGCTGTAACAAACATACACACACACACATTTTATTATATACAACACACACACACATATACATATATATATATATATATATATATATATAGAAAACGTATCGAAAGTGAATTTTTTGCATATTGTTTTTGTGTATGTTAACCAGTTAATGGACTTAACTTTATTTTTATTATATTTTATAAAACAAAACAAAACAAAACAACAAAAAAAAAACACCTATTTAGTGATTCGTTTAACGCTGTTAAATTTGAATGTGTTTCATATGAATATAACTTCTAATCTTGTCATTTATTTAATACTAGTTAAACATGTACGTTATATGGAATATATATGTATCTGCTTATTGATTAATTTCCTTAAAAAAACTAATTGTCTAAAAAGCAGAAGTTCTAAACAATTTAAGCACCGAATATGTTTTTATTATGTACTTTTTTGTTCGTAGTAATCTAAAGAGAACACACAAATTGTCGAAAGAGTTTACGCCTATTTGATATCTGCTTAATTCTGTATAATTGTTTATCTTTTTATATATGTGTATATATTTGTATATACATATATACATTGTCCTGATTTTTAATTTTTTTCGTTCGTTGAAACTATGTGTGAGGCTACACCAATTTATGGAAAAACAAAGAACTATCTAGCTCTAGCTAAACAAAAAAAAACTAAACTAAACTAAACTAATTGCATAAGTTTGTGAAACGCTTTTAATTGTCTTATGATTAATTTTATTTTGTATCCTTTTGTTGTTGTACAACTTAAATATTGAAATCTTCAAAGCAACAAACACACACACAACACATACACAACACAAACATCATATTATGAATTTCGATTTACCTTTGTTTAGTAAGTTAAGCTATAAAAGAAGTGAAAATGAAATGAGAAAAGGTAGACCTCCTCCCAAAGTTGTTGTCGAAGAAAATATATGAAGATGAAGACGAAGACGAAGAGTTGAAGAAAAATGCAATTTTGTGAACAATTTGGCTGTTGAAATATAATTTTAATTTTATATTCGTAAATACGTTATGATGATTTTAGTTTACACTATTTAATTAAGATTACATCATGTTATATTGTGTACAATAATTATTTTTTGTAATGTTTAGATCTAGACCACTAATCCCAAGACCCCCCACCTTCCTACCCACTCCCTGCCTACCCTTGATACAAACAATAATTCAAATGTGCTTAGTGAATTTACGTAGATTTCTTATGCAACAAAACTAAATGAATAAACAAGTATTAAGTGAACACTACAATTATAACAACAACATAAACAACAACACAAATGTGAAATATGCCAAATTTTGTTAACTTTCTTTTCTCATTTGCGCCTTAAATAGTCAAACGAAAATTCTGTGAGCAAACAAAAACAAAAAAAAACAAAACTCTTAAAGTTGTTATATATACATATATATATATGTATATATATGCGTTTTTGAAACAACAAAATACCTATTTCAAAAACTTTTTACACGAAAAAGCCTTCAAAAAGAAGAAAAAAAAATGAAATTGTAATTCCACACGCTTTTATTTATAACATTTACAAATTTTTTTTTTATTTTTAGTTCGATGAGAAAGCGAAATAGCAAAAAGAAAAAATACTTTTGTTTCAAACAAAAATAAAACTTTGTTTAGGTTTAATTCAGATAAAAGAAAAAAATTAAAAAAAAAAAACAACTTAATGAAAAATCCAAAACAAATGATATTAAGTTAACGAAAACATGATTTTTATGCAAAGCTCTTAAACAAAAACAAAAACTATAGAAAATTGAAAAAAAAAACCACACACATATACACACACTCACTCACACACACACACAAAGAAACGTTAACTAATTGATTTCCTATATTGCATACAAATTTATGAAAAAATGTGCTTAAGTTTAAATCAAATTTACAATTTAGTTGAGATTATGAACTAAAAAACTTTTTACATAACAACTATATACACACACATATGCATATATATATGTATGTTTATGTATAACGTTTAGCGAAAATATATATATGTACATATGTAAGTTTAGCCAATGGCAAAGGCGGCTGAGTTGGTTGGCAATTGGGCGTGGCACTAGAATGGAACACGTAATACACGAAACAACATACAGACACAACCACACACGAAGGATACTTAGGCCAGAGCAACTAGTCACGTTTAGACACAGCTTAACGTATAACGTAAGAGTGCAGCAAACATCACGTAACAGACAGACAACAGATGTGACGTAAGAGTACAGCAAACATCACGCTACATACATGAGCTGGTGTGACTTAACGAATGTAAAAGGACGTAACAGCACTAGCACTGACGTTACGTAACGCACAGGCGACACCAACTTTTTTTTTATGGAACCAACTTCGCCAGCTTCGGTGCCAACAACAATTTTTGAGGCCGTTCTTTTGTGGCTAAGCTACGAAATAAAAATAAAATAAAGTAATTAAAAATAATAAAAATACAAAAAAAAGAAAATACAAAAAACAAAAAGCAATTCAAAAGAAACGAAAAAGTGAACTAAGAAAAGGCATATTTTATTATATTATTATTTAATAATGACACAAGAAAACACAACAACAACAACAAAAAACATTTGTACAATGTGAGCAGAGAGAACGCTTTCCACCTATTTTGGTTTATTATTCATGTACTTTATTGTGTTATATACTTTATAAATTTTGTGTTAATCAACTACTCAAGTAAACAAATATAATCTAACTATACACATTTATATATATACGTATGTATGTACACGCATATGTATGTTTATATACATTCGTTGTGAAACACTCAAGTCCTCAGTCACGTTTATTTTGTAATTATGTAATTTGTTTTTAAACATTTTCAATTGGCATACACAAGACACCAAAAAAAAAAAAAAATAAAATTAATCAACAAAAACAAAATGTATAAAAAAAATACAAATAAAAAATATATGAAGAAGATGAACAAGAAAAAGAACATTGTAATTCATATTTGATGAAGAAATTTTGAAGATGCTGCCAAAGATTAATATTTGTTTCTGTTTTTTTTTCCTTAAATTTAAATATACACTGAAAAAAAGAAGTTAAATGAAAGCAACAAAAATTATTATATGTATATATATTTATATATATATATATATATATATATGATATATATGATATATTAACTAAATCTA